GTCATCAATAACAAGAACCTTTCTACCTTCCAGTGATGCTTTCTCTGGAAAAAACAAAATGCGAGGTTCTGCCAAGCCATAAAAAGGATCACCTCGGTCACCATAAAAGATAACAGTGGCCACAAAAACTGTTCGAAGCTCAAGAGTTTCCGCAGCAATAGTAGCAGGAATTAGACCGCCTCTCGTAATGGCAAGAATTGCGTCAAATATATACTGTTCTTCCTTAATTTTATGTACCAAGTGGCAGGTAAGTCTTTCTACATCTTCCCACGAGAGTTGCTCTGTAGGCAACTGATTCCTTGTAAGTTCCGCAATCCGTGGATGCTTACAAGACGTTTCCTTGGGAATTTCTTCTTCTGATGAAGTATTTATTACTATTGGCACTCTCGAGTCAACTCGACTGGGTTGAACGTTACACTTGAGTCGAGAAAACTTCCTTGAAGAAAAAGACAGTCTCCAACGGTGCAGGGAATGAAAACAGGTTAAACAACTCTGTAGAACAGATAGTGACATAAAGCCAAGGCTTTGTTTCCTCGAAGTTTGTATGTGACCAAATAAGGACTGCATAGAATCATAGCGTCCCCAATACATCCCAACGACAACATCTTTACCATAGCTTCGACTACGGAAACCCTTAAGAATAGTTTCTTGTGGACTACGTTGCAGTTGTACAAGTGAAGAAACGACTCCTGAAAAAGGAGATAGTTGTCGCTTCAATTTTTGAATCAGGTATGAGAAGAACATGTGACAATGCCTAGTTAGAGTTTATTACAAGTTCGGTTGGATGAAGTCTCAGTTTCCTTGTACCGAAAGAATATGTATTGTTGCCCTACTTGTCATAAGGATATTGCAAAAACGACTTTATTCGATAAAAAGAACCATATGCCACTCACAGTCTTCTTCTTTTATTACTTCTGTTGATAGAGCACGGACACCTATTCTTATGTAAGCTTATCTTGGTAGCCAGCGTTAACGACGCCTGAGAGCGCGGCAAATATCAATGTTGTTGCCATATTTTGCCAACTACACAGTTTCTATCATTTCTAAATGCTTCCTGTCGCTTGTATACCTGGTGGTAGGCTTATTGGCGCAGAGGTTGCAAGTACGATCTTTCCACGTTTGTGTACAGGTCTACTCAAAGGAGTCTCTCGCCAGGTCTTGCAAAAATTGTTATCTCTCTTCATTAAACTTTGTGATAAAGTTTATTGAGATAGCTTTTTCCATTTCATTCGAATGCATTTGCCTAGGCAGTTTCTACTTGGAAATCTATTTCTCAGCTGTACCCCATTTTGTAAGAATTATTTCAAGCAACTCGCTTTGAATCTCTTGAATATTGTTTTGAATACAAAAAAGTATCCGTATTCGAGGCTAATAGAACCCAGAACATGAAATGCGTCAGTGCATAAAGAGATAAACAAGTTGGTTACTATAAATATAGCAAAGACTGGCTGTGACACAAACTTTGATAGAGTCAACTCGAATGTTTTTATTCAGAGATGTTATGGAAAGATTGATTTTTTGACTACCACGCCATAGTAAAGTTCTTCGTTGCATGAACAGACCATCTAATATTGAATGATATCCATGATAAGGCACAAAGGTCAAATGAGCTTAGTCATAAGAGGATAAATGGACAATACGGGGAAACAAAAGTCCTGTCTGGTAAAAATGTGTGTATAGTAAGACGAGGAAAGCTACCAATTTGAACATCACCTCTCTGTGCTTTTTGGATTTCTTCTGTAATAGAAACATCATGTTTCCAGAATGACAAAACTCTGTCAACAGGATTATTTTCAGGTATAGGATCGTAAAAGTTGAAAATAATTGGTGTAGAAAAGTCCTCAAGAGTTAACCGAGTCTTTCTCCCCGCTAAAGGTTATTGTGAAATAGCTTTGTTAACTCAAAGGTTTCTGCCTCGTGTACTCCTGTTCCCACCATGTAATCGAGTGCTACCTTTTCTATCCATTTTTAACAGAACCGTTTCTTCCACTCCCTTTTGTGGAAGTTGCTTATTTCAACAGTCTGCAAACAGGGTCAGTGCTATATCCAAAATTTGCTTTCTCATTATGTTTTGTTTTGTTTTACCATACAGTTTATGTGGTTTGTTTTTAAGTTTTGATAGCAGCGCGGTTTTTCTTAAGTTGTTTCAAAAACTTGTTGTTCAAAAGGACTAGTCTATGAGACAAACGGCAAAGGTTAACTTGTTAGCTATATCCTAATGACTGAAATGGTGTTTATTGTTTCACTCAAAGTCACTTTTCAAAATAGTTTCCCATACAAGTAGACTGTGTTTTTTTGAATGGTGAGAATACTTGCAAACAGAAACTATTTGGGTAGCACATCTAGTTACGAAATCTTTAAAAAAAACACCTATCGAAAATACATTTACGAAGCAAACGATTTTAAATGTCTGGACGAGACGAATGTTTTCGTTTTACTAATAAAACTTTCACAAATAAAGCACAACATCAATTTTTTACCTTTTTTTTGAGAGTCCAACTATCTTTGTCAATAACTGCAACAAAAAGTAGCAGCACTTATGAGCAACAGTTTGAAAGGATTTGCTTTGATAAATAGGAAAATGGATATACCGTTTGTTTGCACACGACAACTTGATATTTATTTCAAGACCTTCTTTAGTGTACAATTGAGGTTTTTTGGTTGACTCCAATGTACTTTTTCAATTTTGAATTACACGGATAGTCTTTTATACGGAATTGAAGAAGGTATTTCGTGAAAGAGCACTTTATATGAAGTGTCTTGAGAGAATTTATTCGGAACCTTTATGTTCATGAAAAGTTTTAAACATTTATATAAGAATTTTTCAAGTAAGATCGATAGAAATATCTGGATATGTACAACACTGACATGTATTGTATGAAAAAGTCTCTTTCCAACTTTCATAAAACAAGGATGAAAAATCTTTATGGTAGCACATTTGTGTTGGCAAAATGCAACAACACAACAAGAGAAACGCAATCACTCTATAAAATTGACAAAACCATTTATCTTATCTACAACAATATTTTTCAAGTATGCCTTTTCTTTGATGGAGACGCTTTCCTTGTGTCAAAAAAGTTTTCTGTTTCTTCTTGGAAAGGAGAAACCTCAGAGCCCATAATGTAATGGAACCATCAAAGCTATTGAAGCATTCTTTTCAAAGCAAGTGAATGGACATACTTGTCGTGAACTGAATACTTGGAATAATCAGCATACAGCAAAATGTTGGACTTTATAGTCATATTTGATCGTGAAGTGATTTTCTGTAATGATTAAGAGACCTCTCATTGGAACGGGAATTGAACTTGCATGAAACATCAACAATTGCAACTATTCTTTAGTTGTTCTTTCATGCAACTTGAACGATGCATTTGTATTAGACAATGTTGAATTGACTTGAATATCAATCTCTTGATGTTTTTAAACTTTGTCCAGTATCCAGAATAGCTTTGATATCATATATGTTTGACCCAGAAATAAAATGCAATTGTATATAATTCTAAGAGGGAGATAACCGAAAAAATAAGGAGAACAAAATAAAAAGTTTTCAGTTTTTTATCCTGAGAGATGAAAGTAAAACTTGGTCGCTATGTATTCATTAAAAATAGAAATTCTGCAAAGGGTAAGAAACTTGAAAATGGGAATGGAGAATTGGAAAAAGTATCTTTTCTAAAGAATCGATAACAAAATGTCTTACCATGTAGTCACTCAATATCTTTGGACTCCACAGAGTTAAAAACCTTTCCTTTGTAAATTTTAAATATAAAAACACTGGTTATTAAAATAAAAGATATGAGCCAATGCACAATTGCAACACAGGTATACTACATCGGCATGTCTTGTGTTTTTTTTCCGATCTATATTGTTGTGCAATTGATATCGTTGGACCCTTCAACTTGCTGAAAAACTCAATCAGAAAATTTTTCCTGTGTTTCAAGGCCCCCTTTAAACAGCACAAGGAGCAAACGATCCTAGAGTGAAGTAAAGTGTGGAATGGAATAGATCTATTGAATTCTTGTTTTGTATCCCGATGAAGAACACGCTAGTCAAGACAGCAATATTCTTCTTATATAGTACATTCCACTTTGGGTTTTGAATAGTTTTTTGCTAGACCACCCAACTGTTTTTAGACATTTGAGGAAGAACAAAGATATTTTTGTCCCAATATTTGTAGTCGCTGTCAACCATATGAAAAAGTCGTAAAGAGTACTGCTTGTTTACTTATTCAAGAGGGTCTTTTTGAATCATAGGGGTTTCTCAAAGTGATAAATATAGTTTTCGTTCTCAATAGAAACCGTTTGGACTTGGCGTCTAAACTTCATTGTGTGTGTGTACACACAGAGAGAGAGAGAGAGAGAACACTTGAAATCCATTGTGGACGAAATGATCTCTGTGCTTGTATACGAAGTCAATCATGGCACCTTGTATCAGTATTCGTTTTGGCAGAGTTGTTTGTTTGTTTTGAAACAAAATCTGATATTCATAAGGACTCAGAACAGTCCAAGAAAGTCTAGAGGTATTTGAGTTGAAGTGTTCTTGAAAGTATTGTAGCTACAAAAAAGAGCTGCTCATAAAAATACTTGTTGAAAAACTATCTTTATGAGCACTTGTACACGTCCTAGTACTTGTCAAAGAGACTTTATTCTACCCTATCCTACTCGTCTTGCTTTAAGCATTGAACACTCTAAGAACAAACTTGATTCACCTCACATAATCAAAGGTTCCTCTTTTGTTGTCAAAACTGACTACTTTCTATGATTCCAAACCAAACTATTGAATTCTTCTATTGTTTAAAAAATGTCATATTTCCCAAGGCGATGAAACTTGTCGAAAATTATTTAAAACTAGAAGCAAAGATGTCCAATTTCTTCGGTTTTCGTATTGCATAAATGGCAAGGAGAGACAATACTATTGTATAGTAAATATGTGTACGAGTAATGTCCAATTACGAATTGGGAGAGCATTTTTAGTTGTACAACTATTGTTCCGACTGAATTGTTTTCTGAAAAGTTTGGCAAAGTTATTTTAGAAATAGCAATTGGGGAACAGAATTTGCCAGTTGAAAGAAAAGTTGCTCCATACTTTCTTCTTCCGTCTTTTTTTGATCATAGGAACGAAATAAAGTTGATTTATTTGCTATAACAGTTACAAAAGAGTGTAAAAAAAGCAATTTCTCGTTGAACAGAGTAGTTGAATTACTGTATACCTTTTACTTTCTTTACACAAGTCAACTCTTCAGATCGCCACGCCCTAAAATATTCTAGACTCGTTGGTTACAGTCAAAGTATTTGTACCGCAAAGGTTGCTTGGTTTTTCAAATATTGTTGATCTCTTACAATTTGGACGATTCAATAGACTACAATCCATGTACAAGGAACTAGAAAGAGTATCAAACAAGTTGTTGGCAAAAGTTTCATAGAGGTTCAAAAACGACTCGAAAGTTATAAGCAAACAATCTATCTAGTCCAATTCCACCTCTTCCTGAGAGCAAACTCAATTATAGTGAACTTTATACTATTGTTCTTTTACAAGATGATGAACTTGAGCAAAAACGGCAGCAGCTTGATCTATTGAAGAAGAGTGTTTTGATACTCGATGACGCTTTGAAATGATCAATACAAGCAAAGAAATTTTATAGCAGACAAAAGGTTGTATCGAAATATTAATAGAACAGAAAAAAAGGAATCACAAGTCATTGATCAGCTCGCGAGTTTGTAGTACTACATTATCCACATACACTGGTAGTATTTTAGACAATTCTAAAGACAGTCCTGGATATAAAGCCGTGAACAAGAAAAGCATATCTACAAAACTGCGACCACAAAAAACCACGAGGAAAGATGATCTTGCTATTTCCTTTGAACAACGTTTCTTCTATTGAGAAAGACCAGTTGAGTTTTGTCTGTGAATTGTTCGACTTTGACTTGAGAATCTTTCCAGTCTGTTTGAAAACCCTTGTTTAATATCAAGTCAGTGTTTCTGATCACTCTCATTGACTCAACAGACGTATGTATTGTCTCCTAGAAACTTGAAAACCTCTCCAACTTGTGAGTTTTGTTCCACAAACTTGAAGAAAAGAGTGGATTCTGTTACCCTTTGAAGGATTTTCGACGCAATGGCTAACAGAAAGAATTGTAAAATGAATCTAGGACGTGGAAACTGCACTACTATTGGTTCCAAGCCTTGACTTGTTCCGTAGTTGACTGCAAAATACTTGAATTGTATTTTCTAGTGTTGGCAATTTTATCTTGTCTGAAATTGTCATATTCTTTTCCTAGAGCGATAAAGAAAGTCAAGGTAGATAGAACTGCCACATATGTAAAGTAGGGAATAAAAGGTTTTAAAGTGTCAAACAGACACAACTGGCAAGTTGACAAGCAGAAAATCCAATGCTGTAATTAATAGTCAAAACACACAAGACATTTTCTCTGAATGGTGGATGTCATTTATAG